GTAACTGGCCCATTGAATGCTTGATAGTAGACCCAATGCTGAAGTCACTGCCTTGGCATTATACTATGAGGAGTCGCGAATATTTAGGGAAGCCTAGAACGCAATACGGCGGCACCAGAAAAGCCATTATTCGACAGATGCTTTCCTTTGCACTATGTTAGCATGGTAATTGATAAGACGATCCAGACCAGTAACTACTTCGAGCTAAATCTGTTTATCAGGATATTTGAAGTAGTGCTTTCGCACCAGGTAGATATATACCTTTTTTTTTCTTCTGGCGTTTGATGATGCTATTTTATAGTATCTGGCTCATTCACTGTTGCATGGCAGTACGAAGGCTAACGACGCTTTATTGACAGTGTATTTCTAAGGAGGTCACTCATTATTACGACAGCACAGAGGGCCCGTGGCGCTGCCTGAAGAGCCCTTATTGGAAAGACGTATGCCCCTACACTAGGCGTATGCGGTAACCAGCACAAACCTGTCTGATTGAGGTGCGATCTTACGGCGTGCTACACTTGCGCAATAGTAATGCATGAGAGTGACTCAGAGCGTTCAAACCAGGTGTTGCTGCCTATGCTTCTGTGACTAGCCGTGACTATCGTTGCGATTTCGTAAAACGGTCACCTATAAATCAACTTTTGGGAAAATCATTTCCCCATTCGGAATGTTTTTAGCGGCGGGTGGCTCTTATTGCTCGATTAAGACATGGCTCCATGCAAAGCCATCTATCGCATACCCATAAACGTAAGTCAAAGTAGTTACTACAAAGGTCTGCATCCTCTGAATGCCATGGTTGATGTTTATAAAATAATTTATCATATTGTACAGCACACACGCACAATAAACCTGGCAGACATAGTGCAACCACAGTTAAAACATGTAGTTCAGACATCATCATACAGACTACAGCGTCTGTGGACACCACTCATCTATCTCCCTCTCATTCTTTCCTATACCCTTTCCTAACTGTGAGACAGTTCATATGTCCATTCAAACGCCGTGATGTTTAATGTCCGTGGTTGTTTTTTTTTCTGTTACTATACATTCAACAAGCACACTAGAACGCTTCATCACTCCAACCAACCTATAATCATACGCGCCATGGTGGTTTAGTGGATATGGTGCTCTGTTGTTGACCCTAATGTGGCGAAATCCAGTTTCGGTCCCCGACGATCAAATTTTACGTATACCTAGCTGCAGGTCAATTCAGGTGCTCTGCGCGTCTGCGTACCTTATAATCATATCGTGGCTTTGAGACGATAAACCCCAACAAACAGTTGTTATTGTGCCCATCACCTATCCTTCATCCTAAATATTCAAGTTTAATCTTAGCACTATTCACAACCACGTTTTTATTGTTGAAGTTTAAGAAAACAGTGAGGCTGCGCTCATCTATGCCGTTTTTCAAGGGCAAACAGGAGACGAGTACGTGAGCACAGATATGAGCACATAGGTGAGGCCCTCAAACATGTATATATAAGGCGGGAAAGTGATAACCAGGATAACTTCAGAGGATAAAGAGTTTTCTAATTACCATAAATTCAGTGCACTGAGGTAATACAACGAAATGGAAGTTGCGAAATGACAATGTACCTCATGTTCTGTCGTATTTTCTTCCGTTAATTTGCAGAGTCCAATCTTTCGTAACGAACCTTTTGTCAACACAGGCACTCGTTCATCCGGACTGTTTTGTAACGATGGTAATATACTGCAAGGAATACGAGCTTTCTGTGCAATCACGTATCGAGATTGGACCGCAGTGGACAATACAGAACGATGAAGCTGGTGATGCAGTAAGAGGTGCATTCGCAGGTACTGTGTCCTGGCAGGCGTGTCCTAACAAAGCAGTCGTTATTAGGACTTCTGAAACATCTTGGCCATTTAACGTCTATTGTGCACGAGATGAATCAATCTCGGACAAAATTATCGAGCAATTGTTAAGAACGAGAAAGATTGGCCGCTTGTAGCCTGGCTTAATCCGTTGAAAAAAATATAATAGCCCCCCCCCCCTCCTCTTTATCACCGTGAAAATTGCCGTGCAGGTGAGCCAGGGCCAAACGAACCGGGCAACAATGAACGAACACGAAGAACGAGAATAAATAATTTTTTTATAGTAAGCACCCAGTAAGTCCAAGGTGGATATCCTTCTTATTTAAAGGTAGCCGCGGGCCTTCGCCAGAACTCGTACGCACTGAAACAGGTTGCGTTGTTTCTTCAAGTCTAAGTCCGATAGTTTTGCCACCCACTGCTTTTCGGTTGGGGTAGCGGCGCCAGGGTCTTGTATGCATTCCCATACCATGTTGTTCTATTATTTGTGTGTCACAGCTCCTGACTCACTTATTTTAAGGTAGTGCGAGCTAGTAAAGCTGTTTTGATGCAGCTTTCATTACCGCCATCTTTCGTGTTATCTAAATAAAGAGTAACAGCATACCCACGGAGTGAATGATGATGAGTGGTGGAAGCTCTGGAGGTACATTGGTAAAGCATGGCTCATCCTTGTCTGTCCCTGTCTGTCTGTCTGTCTGTCTGTCTGTCTGTCTGTCTGTCTGTCTGTCTGTCTGTCTGTCTGTCTGTCTGTCTGTCTGTCTGTCCATTCATCCATCCATCCGTCCGTCCGTCCGTCTGTCCATCCGTCCATCTGTCCACCCGGTGGCCTGTGTGTCTGTCCTTACTCGCACTAAAGCACGCGTCTCCTACGCATCGTAGCGGAGTGAGAGCCGCACCGCCATCTTATGAGCACTCCGAGTAATAGGGCTGGCTACGATGGACAACAGTGGACAAGCCTACATTTTTAGGAGCTTCGCCCCTTAAACTAAACTTAACCGAGGTCAGTTTAACAATACACAGAGTGCCCGGAACATCATAGTACTTGCAAATGTACAAATGCTCAGTCGATGCGATGCGGTAAAATAGCATACCCGCAATTTAAGCGTTTGCAGTTTTTTTTTAAGTTTACTGCATTGTAGAAATTTTTAAAAAAGTGAACATTCCTGGCAAGGAACCACATCTTTTTTTTTCTGCACATCTCTTCTCTACACATCTGATCCCTTCGCGAAGCCAAGGAAAGAAACCAAAGCTTGCGATCTTTTCTTTATATTTTATAATTGAAGACGAAACATTAGGCGACAAAAGATTTCGCTTTTTTGAAGTTTATGTGTTCAACCAAATAAACAATTTTAGATTGTACATTATATAACGCGACGAGCTATTGAACAAAACGTAATAACCCTCTGAAATTATATCAAATGATATAAGACTGGTTTGAGATATCTTTCTTCTCTACTAATGAAAAACACACTCGCTCATGGCGGACAGGACTCTTGAAAGGAATATTTTGGGGGCTATCGATGCCCTCTACGTACTTCCATGCAAGGAAAACGATGGGTTTCAACGATGAGCAAAACCGAACACACTGATTCATCCATTGCACTTTTCTACCTCCTCTGCCCGTGCCCGTCCCTCATCCTCCGTTCCTCTTGGCATGATCTCATCTCTCTTCACGGCCTATTCAAATGGGATTGGAAGAAGGCTCAGCCGACTTCAAGTGCACCTATGTAGTGGCTTTCATTATGCATGATATCTCCTTTAGGGCAAGAGCGCATCACTGTTCTGTGTGCAAGACAGAAGGTCGGGTGGGAGGCGGGGCGTTCCAAGCGGACAGCCTGCTCCATCAGTGCCGGTGGCCTCTGGAATGATGAAATTGAATTCGCAGATACGGTGAGATTTCAGTGATAAACTTGATTGAAAAAGAACAGCATAAGCATAAATAACGACAAAATGGCCTAAGCTTACTTTCGCGTAACACAAGCAGGAAACGCCGAGTAGTGTAGTTAGAAAGAAAACGACCACTCTGATTATTCTCGAATTCGTCCCGTTTTGTCCTGTTTCTGTCCCGTTTTCAGATCTTATAAGAACGACCCAACAGCTTATGAACCCCGAAATCTTTCTACGACGCTTGAAGGCGACAGGCTAGAATGCCCTACTTCGTCATGTGTGAGAGCCATCCATGCTTTGTGTTATGTCTTCACAACTTGGGAGCCGACTAGCCAACACACACATGTTTATTTCAACTAGCAATACAACGGAAAAACTCTCCCCGCACACCCGCGGCGGTCTTATCTCTCAAAGAACTTAACAGTGACGTCAGAGAGCCAGACACTTCCATGTGCATCTTATCTTATATACGACACGCGCTCTATCTTGGGTAGTATTACACAACACTCCTTCCCCCCCCCCAAGTGTTTTTAGTACCGATCCGGCAGTCGTCTTTGCCGGGTGCTGCGTCGAAGTTCCGGAAGTTCCGGTGGGGAAGATTGAGTCTCGCCCCCGCCGCAGTCCCCACCAGCAGATGAAGGGCCCGGTAGGTTGACCGGTTCTTTGTTTGTATCTTCTGCCTGCTCCTCGACTTGATCGGGGTCGGCCGTCTCTCGTGCGCCCTCGATGGGTACAGGGGCACCTAAAGACCTGCGAGGCACAACGTCTTGGGTGCATGCGGGAAGTTCGTAGTTTGCAGACGGCACCTGAACCGAAGGCGGGAAACACTCCTGGAATGTTCGTGGTCTCATATGATCAACATGCACGTACCTCTCCTCGTTCCCTATCCCTATCACATAAGTGCTTAAACTCTCGCGTTTTTTTACCTTACCGCTCAACCACTCTCCTTCCCCGGGGCGCAGTCCTTGTACGAGGACGTCTTCCCCTTCCTCGAAGTCTCTCCAAGCTCCACGTCGCCGATTGGCTGCCTGCCTTGTTCGCTCCAGCTTTTCTTTCATCCTTTGCTCGATATCTGGATGGAGAAAGCTCAACCTGGTTCTAGGTTTCCACGATAAGAACAGCTGGGCCGGCGTCTCTTCAGTAACACCTGTTGGCGTGTTCCTATAATTGAATAGGAATTGGTCGATCCGCTGCTGGAGAGACTTCATCCTGAGAAACTGAGAAACTGAGAAATGGATCGGTACTAAAAACACTTGGGGGGGGGGAAGGAGTGTTGTGTAATACTACCCAAGATAGAGCGCGTGTCGTATATAAGATAAGATGCACATGGAAGTGTCTGGCTCTCTGACGTCACTGTTAAGTTCTTTGGGGTGAATTTTTCTGGTTTCTGTGCGAGCGAGTTCCCCACTTTTCGCCAGGTCATAGGCAGCTTGAAACGTCAGGGTACTCTTCTTAAGCAGCTCTGCTTGTGCCGTTTCATCTCTCAGTCCGGCCACGAACCGATCCCGCAGGGCGTCATCCAAGAATTGCCCGAACTCGCACGATCCAGCCAGCCTTTTTAATTCTAACGCAAATGCGGCAACTGACTCATTTTCCCGCTGCGACCGACGGTTGAACCGGAATCTTTCCGCTATCACCAAAGGCTTCGGGGAATAGTGCCCTTTCAGTATTTGGAGCAGTTCGTCGTACGTTTTCTCTTCCGGCTTGGTCGGGGCCAATAAATTCTTCAACGTGCGGTAGGCCTGTTTTCCGATGGCGGTGACAAAGACTGACACCTTCAAGTCTTCACTGACCTGGGTCGCCCGGACGTAATGTTCAAAGCGTTCCGCATATGAGTCGAAGTCTTCGTCTCCCTCTTCCGTGAACGGCTCAAACCGGCCAAAGGAAGCCATGTCGTGGTAATCCACCAGGACGCTTTCCGCTCCTAGAATACTGGTGCCGTGACGTGAGCTACAGCCGAGGCCCGGCTAACGTGCCCGAGTATCATCCCATCCTCGTCGCCACTGTTATGTCTTCACAACTTGGGAGCCGACTAGCCAACACTTTGTGTACGGTAGTCTGCTGCTCAGCATGGTTTGCCCGCTATCAGGAAGTAATTGAAGTGACTACAGAAAAAGGCACGCACAGGCTTAAACGATTTTCACCTTGTGCGTGTATTTTTCACCGCTCAATTCGTCTAGTTCCAGGCAGTGCGAATAAGCAATGCATTTGAACCAACTAGCCTCCATAAGAGCTGTGCTTGCTGCTCAGCAAACAAGATTGATTGATTGATTGATTGATTGATTGATTGATTGATTCATTGATTGATTGATTGATTGATTGATTGACAGACAGACAGACAGACAGACAGACAGACAGACAGACAGACAGATAGATAAGATAGATAGATAGATAGATAGATAGATAGATAGATAGATAGATAGATAGATAGATAGATAGATAGATAGATAGATAGATAGATAGATAGATAGATAGATAGATAGATAGATAGATAGATAGATAGATAGATAGATAGATAGATAGATAGATAGATAGATAGATAGATAGATAGATAGATAGATAGATAGATAGATAGATAGATAGATAGATAGATAGATAGATAGATAGATAGATAGATAGATAGATAGATAGATAGATAGATAGATAGATAGATAGATAGATAGATAGATAGATAGATAGATAGATAGATAGATAGATAGATAGATAGATAGATAGATAGATAGATAGATAGATAGATAGATAGATAGATAGATAGATAGATAGATAAATGTTCTTCCATCCATCTGTGACAGATGGATGGAAAAAGAGATGCATGGAAAGACGGATACTCTCGGAATCGCAACTGCTTTTCAAGTCACCCGTAATTGTCGTAAATCGCCAGTTGTGGTTGCAGTGCTGGCTATCCAACCCTATAAACAGTACATAAGTTCCTCTATCATACACGCCACACGTTTAACAATAATAGTAGTGAATCGCGAACCCCTGCAGTTCATTTATCCAGCAGTGTCCAGGACTGCCATCCTCTCTGGCACTATAGCGCTACATATTAGCTCACCACTTGTGGTGTTGCTAATACACGTGTTGCTGTTGGCATCATTACGCTACACTAAACATCTGACTGTCTGTGTGTACAAACTTTGTACATATATTTATCATCATTCCATTGTGTTACGCTCGTTCAAAAAATAGAACATAGTCACCTTCCCTCCGCATGTTTCGGTTAACATAGGAGGAAGAGGAGGAAGAAAGTTTAAGCGGAAAGACAGGGAGGTTAGCCAGTTCTTAGACCAGCTGGCTACCCTGTGCTGGTGAAAGGGGTGAAGGGAATGAAAGATGTTAAAAAGAAATGTTGCGAAGAGAGAGAGAAATTACAAAAAAAATTGCGACAGAGGAAAGGCAACATCAAAGAGTATAAGACACTGAAGTATGTCTCTGAGGCCAGTTGTCCGCGAAAAGCGCAGCAAAGCTTTCAAAGTCTTCTGGGCTGAGGATAGGCTCGGCCAATGACCCAGAATCCTTTGTTCCGACAAAGGCCGATCGTCCAGTCTATCCAGAGCTGCAGTGAGTTATTGTCTTTGCACCTTGAAATGGGTGCACTCACACAGAAGGTGCGCGATGGTTTCTTCGCAGCTGCAGTAAGTGCATGTAGGAGAGCTGGCCATTCCAATGAGATAAGAGTATGCGTTCGTGAAGGCCACTCCAAGCCACAGGCGGCATAGAAGAGTCTCCTCAGCTCGAGATATCCTTGGGGGAAGACGAAGCTGCAGATTGGAATTCAAGTTATGCAGGCACGCGTTTGTGAAGTCTGTTGAGCTCCACTGTACCAGTGTGAGGTCACGTGCATGCGAACGAAGTCTTGTAGCTGCGTCGGTTCTTGAGAACGGGATGGCTGTGTACTGGGTACCATCATGTGCAGATCTAGCGGCCTCATCTGCGCGGTCATTGCAATATATACCGCAATGACCTGGTATCCACTGATACACTATGCTGTGATGTTTTTCGATTGCTTGGTGATGAAGAAGCCTTATTTAAGCTACTAACTGTTCATTAGGTCCATTATGGTGCCTACACCCACTCAAAGCCCTTCTTACAATTCCTGGCATCCAAAATAAGAAAAAGTCGTCGCATCTAGCCCTGAAACAGGCCACGTTACTCTTCCTGCAAGAGAAGCACAACGGACGCCTTCACATTTACACGGATGGCTCAGTGTCTTCAGTAAGCTCTGCAGGGGCGGTGGTTATTCCCGCGAGGCACATCACAATTAAATTCATGACATCGCATTTGACATCGTCGACAGCTGCAGAAATCACCGCCATACGTGCAGCTCTGGAGTTTATAGTGGAAGAACCTTCGGGAATTTGGTCTATCTTCTCGGACTCGAAGGCAGCTCTTCAATGTCTCATGTCACCCTTTCGCCATTCGGTTAACATATATTCTCAAGATACGTAGGATCTGCCTTTTTTTTTCTCCATTTCCCTCTGTAGAAACAGAAGCGTCCGATTGTCCACTGCTTGTTTCTTTACACTCGTCATTTTTCTTCAAGTTTAATTGGCAATCTCGCCTTACTGACGTCGCCAAAAAATTACCACTGCACCATCACTTCGATTCACCGTTGCGGCAGTTGCAGATTGCAAAATACGCAGGAACGATTTTTCTTACGTGGCAACGCCACAGGAAATGAAGACCTCACGCTGCGTCATAAACGGGTAGGCGGGCGACATTAAGTCAACAACTAACAAGCTCGCTTGTTCTGCATCTTCTTTTGCTTATTTTTTATTCTTTATTTTGTCGCCGCCTAATTAATTTGTGCAAACAGCAGCAGAAATTTCGGGGACGCTCCTTCAACAAGCAATATAAATTTCCGCTCCATTGCTAAGTGATGCTTTTCGTATGGCAGGGTGGTAGGCTGCCGTGCAATGTGGAAAGAGGGAAGGAATGTTCGAGAGAAAAAGAGTAAAGGCACTGCGTCCGCCGACGAAAAAAAATTAACTGCGGAAGTTAGAATACCAGACATGGGCTGGAACATTTATTGGGACTTTGTTTCAAGACAAAACTAGAATGCAGTTTTCTCGAACATACATCGCGTCCCGCAAGCTTTTCCCCTTTGGTGAACAGCCATTACTTTCATGAAAAGAAACGCGTCAGCACGTGGCAGATAATCTCGTACAGTACATGTGGCGTGCGGCTGTGGCGAAATATGAAAGCAATAAGATAAGGCGAGGTCACCTCCTATACCTACACTCCCGTCATGAAAGTGTCTTTCTTGTACTCTCTCGTCTTGGTGTCAATCTTCTGTTTGGGCCTTAGAGCAAACTGCGACTGCTTTTGATAAAGATCGTTACTATCGCGTCTTCATCTAACGCAACAGAAAATAACCTACAAAAAATGAACGCTGCAAGAATTGATTGATTTGTGGGGTTTAACGTCCCAAAACCACCATTTGATTATGAGAGACGCCGTAGTGGAGGGCTCCGGAAATTTTGACCTCCTGGGGTTCTTTAACGTGCACCCAAATCTGAGTACACGGGCCTACAACATTTCCGCCTCCATCGGAAATGCAGCCGCCGCAGCCGGGAATCGAACCCGCGACCTGCGGGTCAGCAGCCGAGTACCTTAGCCACTAGACCACCGCGGCGGGGAACACTGCAAGAATAGGTGCAGGCAACAGACGGAATGACACCAGTCTCTCTTCATATTTTCACATTTCGCCACTGCTGCGTAGCGCTGCATTTGCGATACGAAGCTGTTTGCCACAGGCTCGCGTTTTGTCTTTCATTGAAATGAAAAGCATCATTAGAATCATGCTCGTACATCTCGCTCGAAAAGATATACTGTAGAGAAAAGCGTTTCCATTCTACTAACGTCATCGGAATGCAGCTCACGCAAAATTGGTTGTTGTTTTTCTTCTGTACATGTCTTGTTTCAGTACCCTACGGCACATATTGACTAGAGCACGCCTATCTCGATCCCAGGCGCCAGGCTCCCGGTGCATTCTCTCGCACATAGGCGGCAATTTCGTATTGAACTTTCAAGGCGTGTATCTGTTGCACTAAGTTAAGATGGCAAGCGTTGTCTCCATGACCTTAGAATAGGAGACAGCGCCTATTCACAGCGCTCCCGCTTACAAGAGGTCATCTGGGCATCCCTACTTTCCGAAAACAATCGGCGCAAAAGGAACACATTGCTCAGCGTCATATGCTTTGAAGATCTCAAGACCACGTTGGAACTCTGCCGGTGCCCCGTGTGCTCAGATTTTGGTGCACGTTAAAGAACCCCAGGTGGTCAAAATTTCCGGAGCCCTCCACTACGGCTTCTCTCATAATCATATGGTGGTTTTGGGACGTTAAACCCCAGAAATCAATCAATCAATCAATCAATCGAACTCTACCGGTGCGGTGTTTTCAGATTGCACAGATTTCCATCCCCAACGAAAGACGTCGAGCTCCGCCACCAGTGGATAATCGCAATCAACAGGATAAACAAAGAGCCCATAGAGAGTATACAAGTAAGTACAATCACTGCGTGTATTCAAGCATGATGCCAGCTGTTTTGCTTTGCAGCCGTAACTTGCGCGCAGTCTGTCTGTGGTTTGCGGTACCAAGTTATTCCCGTACTTTTTCGCATGCCCCCACGACTATCATAGGATATATTACGACTCACGTACGCGTGCATAAGCACGTTGTGCTCGTCGAGTTCAATTGTAACGACTATACTGTCACGATCAAAAGAAACAGGAACAGGGGAAAACGTGGCTTTCGTCGTAGCCGCACCGCTACATGCTTTGACTGTCGCTGACTTTGTGCTTTCAACCGGTGTCAGCGTAATACTATAAAATCGTGCTCTGGCTGGCACATTCGCACCACGTGTTTTCCGAGTGCCAGGCATGACTGTCAGGTTATGCCGTGCATGAGCGCAAGCCGGAGAGGGATTCTCGCACTATGGTGGCACCGACGGAAAGCACAAGTTTTGTCTCGCGACAGTCTAAGCATCCCGCCGTTCGACTCATTAGAAAACCCCGATTTCCACTGTACACGT